AGCCATTTGTTTTACAGCCTGGGTTTTTTAAAACCTGTTTGTATGTGAAAGGACACGTCTCAGGGAGATGATGTGTGGGATGTACAGGAAGAAGTGAGTCAGGGTAAATAAATACCTGCCTGGGTCCCGGTGTGTGGTTCAGAAGGTGACACTGAAATAAGGTTGTTTCTAGAGCTGGTGGCACTAAGAATATTGAGACTTCTACCAATTCTTCAGGAAGTCTGGCAAAGTGACCTTGAATATCCTGAACAGGGAGGGTTTGCTCCTGAAGCTCTGGTAGATGAAGATGACGCTGGTGTGTCTGCTCTAATTAGGTTTTTAAGTGCTCCAGGGTGAGGGCTGGCTTCTCACAGGGGCTGTGACAGCATCCAGCACAAGGGAGCTCTGGAGCAAGGCAGAGCATCTGGCTTTGTTATCTGAATAATGGTCAAAACAGAAATAGCATAATAATAAGACAAAAATGATATGCTGGAACAAGAAGTAACCCTGGTAATGTGATAACAGCCATAATTACAGCCCTGGTGTTGGCTGTAATTATCTGAGGGGGTTCAGCAGACCTGGGCAGAGGGAAACACGCCCAAACTGAACAGGTCACGTTCCCCACCTTAGAGGAGCCCTGGGGAGGAGGTGGTGGCCGTGGAGGCTCCCCCTTGGTGCAGTGTGGCTATAAAAGTCTCAGCTGGCTTGGTGTTAAGACAGGAACTGAGGAGGTCACACAATGGTGTCTGGGGTGGAAGAGTCTGGGGGTAACTTCTCTGCCCCAGTCACCTCTCTGATCCTGAGGAGTCCCATATAAATCAATAATTTCAGATTTTTTGGTTGTAGTGAAGGGAAATGGGCACTTTAAAGGCCAATTCATGCCATCCTGGATGGTGTCCCTGAACTTAAACTACATGAATGACTTCATGGCCATATAAACTGTCCTGTTTAAATTGGCTGTAATGACACTTTCTTTGTCATCTCCATGGAAATTCTCAGCACTTTGGGAAGCAACTTATTTTTCCTGAAGCTGTGAAACACAAACACAAGAAACCCCTGATCTTAATTGTGTTCAGTAAATCCCACTGAAGTTCATGTGCCAACAATAATAAAAATTACAAATGAATCATGGAATCCAGCGTGGTTTGGGCTGGAAGGGACATTAAAGCTCATCCAGTTCCACCCCCTGCCATGGGCAGGGACACCTTCCATGATCCCAGGTTGCTCCAAGCCATGTCCAACCTGGCCTTGGACACTTCCAGAGATGGGGAATTCTTCCTTAGACAAGTACTGAGCAATCCCAATCCCTGCTTTCTGTTGGAAAATGTCTCTCAGGCTGTAGGATGGAGGCGGATAACATCCTCTGAGGCCAGTGTGAGCCCTCAGCTGCACTTTGTATCTATTATAGATCAGAAGTCAGCTGACACTGGGCCCCACTGTTGGTACAGCACTAAACCTGGCCCAGCTGGGGAGTTTGGAACCGAGAGTGGCTTTGTGACACACCTCCCGTGCCACCCACAGTGATGGCACCAACACAGGCCACAGGGATGGGAGGTCTCCTGAGATATCACCCCTCCTGAAGAGGCTCTGAGCTGCTGAACTGTGCTTAGCTACTGGAAACAGAGGAGTGCCAGGTGGGAATGTCCTCCTGAACAAGTCAGAGCAGCCACAGCTTTGCTCCTGTTGATGTTGGTTAGGGTGTTTAGCTGAACAGGGATTCTCCTGTACAACTGGAGATCACAAAAGTGATCCAGAAGACTCTGCCTGGTGACCCACAGCACTCTGGAGCTGCCTTGGGACTCCTCACCCTCCCTGCAAGAGAAATCAGTGAGGTGGGTGCAGGGAACTGTGCGAGGGTGGACACAGGGCATCCACTTATTCAGACCCTCCAAATTTCTGCTTTAGCACTTGCACCTTTGTGGACAAAATGGGAGTGGCTGGAGGTGGAATAATCTGCCCAAAAGCCCAAAGGTGCTTCTCTGCCAAGTGCCACTGTCCCTGGAGGGATATGACTGGTGGAACAGCATCAAAGATGTTACATTTGGATCATGACGTGCAGATTTCTTTGAAAGAGTTACCTTTGGGGCCAAATTTTAAATTGTTTTTATCCACAGAGCAACTGAAACCCAGAATGGGTCAGGCTGGAAGGGACCACAGTGGGTCACTGGTCCCACTCCCTGCTCCAGCAGGGCCATCCCAGAGCACGTGGCACAGGATTGTGTCCAGAGGGGTCTGGAATATCCCCAGTGAGGAGACTCCACATCCTCTCTGTGCAGCCTGTTCAGGGCTGGGTCACTGCACAGGGAAGAAGTTCTACTTATGGGAAGGTCAGATATCTGTGCCATCGTCCCTGAGGGAGGAGAATCTTTCTCTCACTGTCACTACAAACTGCAGCTTTTCACATACCTGCAATTCCCTCTTTGTGGCTGATTTCAAAGAGGCCCCTGGAATCCCAGACATAACCAGGCTGTCCTGAGGCAGGTTAGTGCCACTTCCCACAGAACAGGAGCTTCCAACCAGGGAGTGGAGCCTGATGGAGCTGGATGGTCCAGGCCAGACCTGGAGACTCTGCCAGTGTGGGAAGAAAGTTTGGACTCCTGAACCCAAATAACTGGATTATTCCCCTAAAACTCTTTATTTCTGGTTATTGTCCTGCAAAACTTTTCACTGCCTTCACAGAATCCCAGAATCCCAAATGGGTCGGGCTGGGGGGGCCCACAGTGGGTCACTGGTCCCCCTCCCTGCTCAGCAGGGCCATCCCAGAGCACATGGCACAGGATTGTGGCCAGAGGGTTCTGGAATATTCCAGTGAGGAGACTCCAGCCCCTCCCTGTGCAGCCTGTTCAGGGCTGGGTCACTGCCCAGCAAAGAAGTTCTTCCTCCTGTCCAGGTGGAGCTTCCTGGGCATCAGTTCCTGCCCGTTCCTGCTGTGCCATTGCTGGGCCCCCCTGAGCAGAGCCTGGTCCATCCTCTGCCCCCTCCCTGCAGCCCCTGACACACCCTGGGGAGGGCCCCTCTCAGGGTCTGCTCTGGAGGCTGAACAGCCCCAGCTCCCTCAGCCTTTGCTGCTCCCAGAGCTGCTCCATCCCTTGGGCATCTCTGTAGGAGTCACCATCCAGGAGCTCCCTGTCCCTGCTGTGCTGAGGAGCCCGAGCTGGGCCCGGCCCAGATGTGCCTCCCAGGGGTCAGTGATGGGTCACTGAGCAGGGAGTGGGACAGAAATCAGCTGGGCTGTTGCTCTTGCTGCCAATAAGACATTTGTTGTCCCCAGAGCAGGCAGGAGTTTAATTCGGGCCTGGGTCCCTCGTTAAGTCACCCATCACCCATCACTCACCACCCAGTCCCTGCACTGAGGGTGTACAGCAGGGATCAGCCTCAGCCTGTTCCCCTCGCCTGCTTTTGCCTCAAGTGAACTCTTCTGACTTCAACTCAAAGCATCAAAGCCCCTCAGCATTTCTTTGAAGACCGTCAACAGTTAAACTGACTGGAATTATGCTGGTTTATTCTTCCATGGAATCAGGATAAACCAAGAGTTTCTGATGGGGCTCTGTAAGATGGGCTGCTCTGGTAGCCTGGGAAATCAACTAATTTCTGATCCAGGGAATACTAGGGATTGGCAATTTTTCCTCTAAGAGAAAATTGAGACTTAGATGAAAGCCACACATTTTTAATGCAAATTATATTTTCAGAGAAAAAGTGGAAATTTTTTGTGCTGAACTTATTCCTTTTTCAGTGGTTTTATGCCCTAAGTTCTTTCTTTGTGTTTTCCTTCAGAACACTGTTTTTTGTATGTGTGTGTATGTGTACACATGTGTACAAGTGAATAATAGATGTCTCTAAGCAGGATTGTTAATTACTCTCAACCTGCTTTGCAATCCTATAATTTTGACATAAATATATTTTCCCTCATTGCTGAATTGGTCTCACCCCAAATTAATATAGACCAAGAGTAACTGTGAGGCTAAATTGAATGATGTCTCTGGAACTGGAGAATGTGTTAGTTATGTTAGGGGACAGATTCCCTGACAGGAGCTTAAACTAAGCACTTAAGAACCCTCTTCAGCATCTTATTGTCTCTGATGAGATCATGATTCAGGCTACTTGAGCAGGAGCTCAAGAATGCAAACCCTCAGGGAGTGAAACTTGCTCCAAGGACAAGAATCCAGGTTTAATGAGCTTGTCTCTGCCAACCTAAAGAAAATTGTCAAATAAGATCTCAAATGGGGATGAAGGCACCCAGACCAAGGAAAATGGGGAAGGGCCTTGATTTGAAGGCATGTGAGGACACTGAGGGCACTTGGTGTGTTCAGCTGGAGAAGAGGAGACTGAGGGGAGACCTCAGTGCAGTTCCACCTTCCTGGGCAGGGGCAGAGGAGGGGCAGGGACTGAGCTCTGCTCTGGGGGGACCAGGGACAGCAGCCAGGGAATGGCTGGAGCTGTGTCAGGGCAGGCTCAGGTTGGATCTCAGCCAAAGGTTCTTCCCCCAGAGGCTGGTTGGGCACTGCCCAGGCTCCCCAGGGCAGTGGGCACAGCCCCAAGGCTGCCAGAGCTCCGGGAGGGTTTGGCTGATCCTCTGGGGCACAGGGGGTGGCTCTTGGGGATGGGCCTGTGCAGGGCTGGGGGTTGAACTCGATCCATGTGGGTCCTTCCAACTGAGCAGACTCTGGGATTCTGTGATACTCAGGTGATCAACCCCAGCCACAGACAACAGCCAGGGCCAAAACCAAATCCTGCTGTCAGAGAGAATCACAGATTGGTTTGGACTGGAAGGGAAATTAAAGCCCATCTCATTCCATCCCTGCCACAGGTAGGGACACCTTCCACTATCCCAGGTTGCTCCAATCTGGCCTTGGACACTTCTAGGGATGGGGCAGCCACAGCTTCTCTGGGCAACCTGTTCTAGGGCCTCCCCATCCTCACAGGGAACAATTTCTCCCCAATATCCCATCTAACCCTGCCCTCTGGCAGTAGGAAGCCATCCCCCCTTGTAATGTCCCTCCAGCCCTTCCAAATAGTCCCTCTCCATCTTTCCTGCAGGCTTCCTTCAGGTACTGAAAGGCAAAAATCCATGCAACTAGTAAGTGTTTACATCTATATCTGCTACATCTGGAAAAATGCAGAATTCCAGTGCCATTTGCAGCAATCAGAGCAATCAGGGCAGTGCTGCAGTGCAGGACTCAACTCAGGGCTCAAAATACCTGTGAAAACATTTCCTGCTGCCTTATGCTTCCCCTTGTGCTGGGGGGGAATTCTTGGAGAGGAGATTCCAGTAATCATTAAGGCCAGTTTAAATAACAAAACCCAAATATCAGTTTGTCTGGCAGCTACTCTTGTGAAAACCTGCTTCTAGGTGATAATGACTTTAAAAACTGAATTAATCAGCCTGAACTCTTCCCTGCTGGATGTGTCTGTCAAGGTAGATTTCTTTTCTTTTTCTTTTCTAATTTTCAGGAAAAAAAAAGTTTTATCCTTTTCTAAGAAAGAAATAGCAAGGAAAAGATTTCCCTGGATTTTATTAACTTTACTTAGTTGTTTTGAAGCAGGGTTTGAGGTCTGGAAGGGCCCTCAGGGGGACAAGATATCTCATTTTCTTCCACATTTAGTCTTATCCCAAACTGCAAAAATTCTGAACATCCATGAGTTGCTCAATAAAATTCCTTAAAGTTTTTCAGCAGATTCCCTGAGTTCTAACCTGTCCTAGGGATGCTCTGTGTCCCTCAAGCTCCTCCATGACCAGGCTGTTCTGGGGATGTGGACACAGGAAGGATGTTGGCTCCAGGTCTGTGGCACCAGGTCTGAGAGAAGCTGCTCTGACTATCCTGGACACAAAAATTGAAACTGGTCACCCAAAAAATAGAGAGATAAGGAACCTAGGAGGGGTCAGACTTGAATTAAAAGGACAGAAGTAAGAGCGAAAGGTGAGGAAGGGGGGAAAAGGAAGGGCTGAGAAGTTGGATAATAATGGCACAAGAGACAGGGCAGGAAAAATAGAGCTCAGACAGAGACAAGAAAGAAAATGAAGATAGGAAGGTAAATAGGATCAAACTCGGTGGGATGGTGGAACATTCCCATCCATTGGGAGGGACTGTGAGAAGGACATGGGAACCAAAAGGATAAAACGCTCCTTTTGAATGATAATATTAGCAGAAAAAGTGTTGATTTAGACATCAAATGCAATTAAAGTCAAACTTAGACAGCTCCTGAGTAACTATAAAGCACCCAGTGGAGTTTTCAGCCGTGCTCTGAAAATGCAGCCACATGCAGAGTTTCACCAAATGTCCTAAAAATTGAAGTGTTTTAAGCCATCTGTACTTACTGCTTTTAAGCCCAGGTATTTGATGTTCCTGAAGCTGAGATAAGGGAGAAGACTCTCCCACAGCACAGGGACATGCTGATTGCTTTGACAGTGCCTGAATCTCGGGGTGTGTTGCACCTATCTGTCCAAAAATCAAGGCCACCTCTGCAGTGTTTCATGCAGAGGGTACCAAAGACAAGGTGGACTTTCTCACCCACATCTCCCGGAGCCTCAGGTGAGTGAACTGGGCTCTGCTGCTGGACACAACTGGCTCAGACACTGGGGCAAACGCTGATGGGCATGTAGGGGTGGGGAAAGGGCTTCTTTTTTCTTTCAGTGTTTGATCCAGGGGGTGTGGGAGCAGCTGTTGGCTTGTGGCACTGCTGGAAGAAAGGGGTGAGAGACAAAGGGGACATGGGGGAATGGCATTAAACTGAAGGAGAGTAGATTAGATTGGATATTAGGCTGAACTTCTCCCCTGTGAGGGTGGGGAGGCCCTGGCACAGGTTGCCCAGAGAAGCTGTGGCTGCCCCATCCCTGGAAGTGTCCAAGGCCAGGTTGGATGGGGCTTGGAGCAACCTGGGCTGGTGGAAGGTGTGGAGGGGGTGGAATGAGATTATCTCTAAGGTCCCTTCCAACCCAAACCATTCTGTGTTTTATGATTCTGTGATTCTGTGATTCTCAGACCTTTGTCTCCCAAAGGACCCTGCCCTGGGCACAGCTGCCCCCTCTGTACCACTGCCCAGCCACAAGGTCCTGCTTCCACTCTGTTTCCTCCCAAACTTCCCTGAACACAGGGTTGCTGCCAGGCCCTGCCTGTCCTGCTCCAGCCCAGAGCAGAGCATTGCAGCCCCTGCATGGCTCAGCTTGGATTTCCATCCCTACAGCTTTGGAGACATCACGTGGCTGCATGACATTGAGCTGGGAAACCTCTAGAGTGGAACATCTCTGTGATCCATCTCCTGGAAGTGTTAATGTCATCCTCAGCTCTCGTTTGTGCCAATTAGCCAAAGCCCTGTGGAGGAGGAGGAGATCCATAATTCCAGCTGGAGCTGCTGTGTCATGTGTGGTTCTGCTGCAGCTCCTCATTGCTCCTCCAGCCCCCCCACAGAGGGGTCCTGGCAGTCCCCGCCAGACAGGGCTGATTTAGACCCTTTGCTCTGGTGATAAATCAACTTCCTAATGAGCTGAAGCTGCTGTTGGGACACGACAACTCCATCACCACTCCAAGAGGCTTTATTAGCTGGAAGAGCTGCTCCACCACTGGTAATTTTCATGGGAGCCTTTCTGACTTGGCTGTTTAATATCTGACCTCACATGATTTATAGGGACAGCAGGTTTGTTGATCTGATATTGTTGATAAGATATTGGGGTAACAGTAGCACCCAGGATGGATCATCTTTGCTCTCCTGGGACAAGTGATACTTCCTAAAAGGGATTTTGCACTCAATATTTATTCTTGAAAGCAAATCCCAAAGTTACAACATCAGTGCTGCACAGTTCCTCTCCCCTCCAGTAAAACAGGGCAGCCCCAGTAATGCAGCTGTATCAATTTAGCTTAAACATCAGTAATTCCAGTGGTGTCTGGGGGATTTAAACACCCTGAGTGCCAGTGGTATCCCAGGATCCAAACAACAGGAATCTTTCAAAATGCTTCTACTCTGCTTTGCCTCCAGCAACCAGCAGCAATCCTTGACTTTCCTGTTTTCCAACCCAAATATTTCTTGCCTTATTTAATGTATTTCCTGGTTGCATTTGCCTGTATCATCTATATGTTATGTAAATATGACATTTGGTGTTCAATAATCCCAGCACACATGTAGTATCATCACTCAGCCACACTAATGAGAGAGCAACTCCAGTTTGGAAGCTGCTGTTGGGCTTTGAGCTCTGTAATGATATCAGTGATGTCCAACCTCCCCCTGTGAGCCACAGGGCCTAATCTGTGGTCATTAAAGAGCTGGATGCCCTCTCCACACACTGGGATACTCCTGAACAGGGATCAAAGCAATGGAAGACAGACAGCCTGAGTCCTATTGGTATTCCTTTGCCCTTCAAGGGCACTGATTGATTCTCCAGGAGTTCTGGAAGCTGTGTTTTTTCCATGAGCTTTTCAGAGAGCCACTGAAGCTCTTGAGATCTCTTGCAAAACTCTGTAAGATGCAGAGGGGTCTCAGATTTCTGTCAGCACTGAACCAGTGATTTATCTGCACTGAACCAGTGCTGACAGAAGTGGTTTTCTACCACCCTCTTTGGGCAGGATAACGTGGGATGTTTTCTCATGTGACTCTCTCCTGATCTCCATCTCTCTGACACTGACACTGAGAATATCCTGGATTGTCTCCCTTGGGATCAGAAGAAGGCTTTGCAGACTTGTCTTGAGTGAAATTTCCACTGAATTTCCCCCTGTAGCACAGGAGTGAGTGTGGCAGGTTGGTGGCACCTGCAGGAGTCCTGCTGACAGAGAGCAGCCGTTCCAACCTGCTTTCTCAGCTCCTGCCCACATGACAAGCTCATTCCCTGCCACAAAAACTAGAAGTGTCCTGAAGTCTGCTGGGCTCCTGGGTAGTGCTGCACAGACTGAGGTGAAGACACCTGGCAGTGTCAGGGTGGCCTTCTCTGTACCAGCACAACTAAATCCACACGTGACTGGTGTCACCAGTTGACCAGTTCCTGCCTCACTAAAGGCCATGGTGGAGTCATCATCTCTGGAAATATTCAAGATGAGCTTGGGGATGGGGTTCAGGGTGATTGTGATGCTGTTGGTTGATGGTTGGACTTGATGGTCTCAAAGGTCTCTTCCAGCTATGGAGATTCTGTGAAGGCTGTGAAGGCAGAGATGGTTCAGCAGCTTTAACACCTGAAATGTTTGAGGCACCCTCAGAGCCCTGCACTTGTGAGGACAGTGCTCCAAGGCTCAGCTCTGCTCTGTGGTAGGACCTGCCTCTCTCCATCCTGGCCAAGGACCTTATCCAGCCACTCCAGAGCTCCTCCAGGAAAGAGAAATCAAGATTTGACAGGAGCCTCCAAAGTGTGACAAGAAACGAGACCTGCTGAGTCTTTGCCCCAGGGATGAGGCCAAATTTTTGCGCCCAGCTTTTGGTGTGGATGCAATGAACTCATGGCCTGCACTCCTGGGATGGTTATTGGGAGAGTGAAAAGAGAGGGGAGCGAACACTGGCCTTTTTTAGCACTTTTTTCCAGCCCCTTCTTTTCCCTGAGCTCCTGCAGTGTGTCATTATCTGGGATTGCAGGCTTTGCCCAGTTTCTGCTCCTGCCCAGTCAGCTCTTGCCTCCAGGACAATCTGAATTAGTGGTTTGAAGGATTTCACAGGGCTGGAATATTGAGGCACTTTCAGCTGAAATCAAGACAGAGGGGTCTGATCCTGATCCCACACATGTGGCTGGTGGGGTTTTATAGTGGAGGGAAAGGCCCCAATCTACACATCTTTGTGCCACAGGTCCAGCATTTTACCAGCAGAACATGTCTCTAGTGGGTGCAACTTTGAAGATCTTTCTTTGTCCTCTAAGGCTATTTTGTACCTTCTTTAAAAACATGAAATTTCCACCATTTTCACTGTAAATTCTGGCTTCATGCCCACTGCTGTTTGTAATTCCTGCTCTAATAATGAAGCGAGGATTAAATCAGCCTTTCCAGACCACCACTGCCAGGACAACTGTTCATCCCTCTCTCAAATTATTTCCTGCACCTTGCTGTTCTCCAGGGCTGTTCCCCAGAGCTGGAGGAGGGGTGGAATCCTCCTTAACCAGCTCTGTGGACACATGAGGTGGCTGATCTCCAGCTCTGCTGACTAAATACAAGTAGGACTGTTGTTTCTTTCCCCCAAGGAACAGTCTTATCAAACAAATGCCACTTTCTGAATTAACATCTCACCACCTGCCCTTACCAAAGGGACAGGTTCCTTATCCTGTTGGTAATATGATGATAATGTTGATAATGATGATAAACTCAATGACAATAACAACAGCAACAATAAAAACAATTGGGATCTTTGAGTATAATCATAGGGCTCCTAAGTAAAAAAGGATGCTGGAGTTCTTGTTTTGGCAAACTGAATCATGAGCTTAAAGGTGAGGATAATAAAAGTAAATAAATAAATAAATAAATAAAATACCATCCACTGATATTTTCCCCTGCTCCACAATATCTCTGTTGTTTGGGTTCACCCAGTGCCAGCACATGAAAGTCAAGGTGGATCCCAGTCCCACGGAGCTCCATAGCTGTGTGTAAAAAGCCCTATTTCTCCATGGCTGGTTCCCTGCCTATAACAGGGGCAATCAAACCATCCAGAAGAAAGTTCCAGCCACCAAGGTGCAGGAGAAGTTCAATACCAGGTTCGTATATAAATTGTCAGCAGCATCCACTTCCTTCCTCCTCCTTTCCTCCTTCTACCTCAGCTGTGCAGCACCAAACTGTCCTCAAGGTT